AAGCCCATGTCAATATTGGGTTGACTGGCCAAGTCAAACTAAAGCCAACTTCGCGGGCAACACTAACACGACTTCGCTGTTTAACGACACCTCTAAAAGTCACAGAGTCCACTCAAGTTTATGTTGAGTCCACTTTAGATTAGCTATTTCAGCCCAGACATTAACTTTAAGCTAGCGTAATGCATGACTTAATGCTCCTATTCCGTTTATTTATTTCGTATGTAAGACTCAACTCTCAGGATTGTGTTTCAAAAGTGCTTTAACTCGAGAGGCACAAGCAGAAGCACAAAACACGACCAAAGTGACATTAAACATGAAAAACATTTCAGTTTTTACGCAGAGGGGAGTTAGCAGAAGGCGGGAGTTGGAAAACCTTTATAAACAGACTGAATATATTTCAATGCAAAATTAATCCAGATATCAAAATATATGATATACCTTCAAATAGTTGTCAAGTCTGGGCAGAGCTTTAACTAATGCAGAAGGTAAAAAAATACAATCAAAAAGATTATAAACTCATCTATATAGGCATTATATTCATTTGATATTTAAGAAGCATTGTGTTTTTGGGCTTTCGTTCATTTCAATAGTTGTTCATCAATTTTGATCAAAATAATATCGAACATATTTTCTTTACAAATGCATTTAAATGCAAAATTAAACTGGAGCTCAAATTCTAGAATATCTAATTGCTCAAATTGATTCAGTTTTTGACATAGCACAGTCAGTTTTTGAAGACCCTTGCCTTACAGGGTATACGAATTTGATCAATGTTACAGTCAACTCGTGTTTGATGGCTCACTTGGCGCACACATCTGCCACTCAGATGTTCTAGGCGAGCCCCTCACCCCACCTCCCCCCACTGCTTTGTGATACACACACTTAGCAATCTAGAGCTTAGTTATTGGCGCTATAGTTTCTGAGTAACTGCCATAAATTTGCAGGCAAATTATACGACATGGCTGTTAAAATAGAAAATGGGAAAATAAAGAACTTAAGAGCCAGAGATAAGCAGCTCGGCGATACGCTTGGACTAGAATGAAGAGCCACAAATTAGCCGTGCCGAAATGAGACAGTCCGAATGGCAAATGGCAAACGCATATCATTTAAGACGCACTTCAAATAAATAACCCAAGACCAGAAATAGAAACAGAACCCCAAAGCCGACAGAGACAAAATCCCCAATAGCTGTCGGAATTTTCTAAGATAGCAGCAACAGCAACAACGGCAACAACGGCAACAATGGCGACAACTTTGTAAAGTGTCAAAATAAATTCGATATTGTGGCTTAAAAAATGTTTATGGCTGTGAGATAAATACGCGACATTTGCGTAAATTACACGACAGCAGCAGCAGCAACAGTTGCCGCCGTCGCAGCAGCAGCAGCAGCAACATTTGCCACGCAGAGCGCTGGAAGCCACGTATGCTCAGTGCCACACAGTTGTTGTTATTGTTGTTGTTGTTGTTGTTGTTGTTGTTGCTGTTGTTGTAGGTGTTGCATGTGTTTTATGGCGCATGCGATCAACTTGTTAAACTGTCACGTTAAATTTGCGTTTTATGTCAGAGCCAACACCAAGAGCAACAGCCACAACCGCAGCAACAACCACAGCAACATGCCCCAACCACAACAGCTTCTCTATGATGTGCCGATCATTGCCGCATTGTGATATAGAGTGCAGTCAACTGGCCGCTGCAGGCGCTTATCAGCGCTGACAAAAGACAAAAGACAACATCCGCTGCTGACGCTGCTGCTGCCGCAGACAGTTGCCACCGGCTGGCAAATAGAGTAATAGAGTCAATGCGACGAGGCTTATCATCAGGCAGTCGCCCAGCTGCAGTTGAAGATGTGCCTGCAGCTCACATATTTACTTAGCTAAGCAAATTTCCAGTCGACAACATCAGCAACATCACAATCATAATCAACAGCCAACATTCACAGCGGTGCTGACAGCTTTTGGCTGTTGAAATTAGCTAGTTTAACCAGGCAGAAGTGTGAGAAAAACTGCTAAATATTGTTTAGACAAATGAGAAAAGAAATGCAAAAGTTCTTTTGTTGCTTAGACATTTTCTTTATTAAATAATACAACTTATATATGATAGAATAACAAATATGACTTTCTAGATTTTCAGTCAATCAGTCAGTCATTCGGTCAGTCTCTCAGCCGGTCATTCAATCTATCAATCAGTCAAGCAAACAGTCAATCAGTCCATCAATCAATCAGACAGTCAGTCAATCAGCTAGTCAGTCATTCAGTCAGTCTGCCAGAATGGTGTGTCTTCAATCAATCAATCAGTCAGTCAAACAGACAGTCAGTCAGTCAATCGGTCAGTCAGTTAATCAATTAGTCAGTCAATGAATCGTCAGTCAGTTACGGCCTTGTAAATTTAAAAAACACGTGTTGAATACAGCTAAAAGTTTTGCCGCCATTGCATTATAAAAAATAGCCAGATTTGGCGAAAAACAAGCCAAGTCGACAACACCGATCAATATGAACAAGATCATGATGTTCGCTGTGCGTTCTGTGCCGGGTTGCAAGCGGCTCGGAGCTTCCAATTCCAAATGCAATTCCAGCGACATTTCCAGTGCCAGCCAACAACCAAGTGCCCATTATTTGCCCAGACTAATTGTTTTGATTTGATTGAATTTCATTGAGCGACGACGGGCGTTAGGGGGGTGAAGTGCATCAGATTTGCAGCGCAGTTCGAGCTGCGGCCGAGTAGCCGCTGAGGAGGGCTGGCAGTGACTGCCAGTGGCTGCTAACGCTTGGCAGCGCCGCGCTTTTCCAGTTCCAATTCCAATTCCAATTGCACTTCCAATTCCAATTCCAGTTCCAGTCGCAATTCTGAGCTGCCTGTGGCATGTTGTTGTTGATGTTGTCGCGCTTAGCGGGCAGCGTTAATTGTTATCGCATTTTGAGCTCAATACGCGTTATGATCTCCACCGACTCCGGCTCCACGTCGCCAGCGACGCCTCCTCCGCCGCCGCCTGCCTCCTCCTCCTTCACCGGCTTCGCCTCCTGCTCGTCAGATGCCAGCGAGCGTGAAACAGCTGCCAGCCATTTGGCAGCCCAAATAGCCAACTATGTGAGTCATCATCCTCCACATCAGCCACATCAACGTGCATCCAACTGAAACTTGTTAAAGTTTCATTTCATTTCGTTTCGTTTGTTTTGTTTTGTTTTTTATTTGTTATATCGCTGGCTTTTTATGATGCTGCATTTGATTTCACTCGAGTCACTCGTAAGGCGTTTGCTGTGCCTGCTGCAGCAGCTTCTTATCGCTGGCATTAAAAATTTCATTGAACCAGCGATTTACTAAATCAATTAATTTATTTATTATTGACTTTTGCCTGTGTGTGGCAATCGCTCAGAAACAATCTCTCAAATGCCATCAGCCAATAAAACTAAAAAAGGCCTTGCGCCCCGTCATGTAAACAATGCCAGCAACTGAGCCGGCTCCACAAAATAAAACAGGGTGTGCCGAGCCTAAAAAGGAAAGACGCGAAAGTGCTAAAAAAATTATGTGCAAAAATACGTTAAAGGAATTAGTTTTCTTTTATAATTTAAATTATGTGCAAATAATAGATTAAATAAAGAAAATATATTAAACATTCCGGAATGCATTTGCAAAAAGTTTTCACAGAGGTCAGATATATTAAATTTATCATAAAGTCTATAAAGTGTTGAGAAATATTTCTATTAAGTGATAAAAAAAACAATTGCCGAATCATTTCCAAAGTTTTGTGAGCACATTTTTCAAAGAAACTTTTACTTTATTGTTTTTATAAAGAAATTTATAATGAAATTCAAAGAACTATTTCAAAAAGTTATTAAAGGGAATGATTTTTATTCAATCTTATTGATCAATATTACAAGAGCTCTTGTTTTTATTGATCGGCGCGAAAATTTTATAAAAGAAGTTAAAAAACAGTTTTAAAAAGCCGAAAGTTAATTTGCACGAACTATCAAAGATTCATTACATCTCTTATTTGTTTTATATGATATAAAGAGCATTTGGAAAACAATTTCAAAAGGGGAAAGATTAAAGATACAATCAAAAACTAACCATTCGATATTTTTGCTGGAGAGTTACCATCAATAACTCACGAAGTTCCTTAATGTACAATTATTAATATCTGCGCTGCATAAAAAGAAAAAACAACTCTCATCTCAAATGAATAATTGCGACACCCTGTATTATTACTCGTACATGCTTATACGTAGACATGTGTATGTATGGTCATGCCTGCCATATCTGATGAGCATGAAGCGTCCGACCAAGTCCGAGTCCGAGTCCGAGTCAGAGTCTCTGTCAGCCGGCTGCTGCTGCTGATTGTGCGGCAACTGTGAAACTGGAGCAGCTGACGCTGGCTGAGCAACAGCACCCGCTCCTCCATAGCCGGCAGACAGTTTCATTCATTGGGGAGGACGCGAACGTGGACGTGGACATGCCCCCAAAAGTGGCTCAGGCATTATCTCAAAGCCAAAGATCGACAAAACACAGACCAAAAACGGAAAGTGAACGCGGCGCGGCGCACGCGTTTCCAGCTGGGAGCGGGTGCTGCAGCTGGAAGCTGGTTAGTTAGTTCAGGTTGGGTCTTAGCCCGCTTCCTCTCTTCTGCTCCCCTGCTGCCCCTGCCATAATGCGTCGCATCATCGATTGTATCAATTCAATTGGACGCAGCAGGTGATTAAAAATTGGTTAGAGCCACGAAATTATCAATGTGAGATCGTTGATTGGCCCGTGTTTGTTGTCGTTGTTGTCGTTATCGTTGTTGCTTTCAATACCTTTGGGAGCTTTATAATACGTCCATTGAGGAATCATTTTATTTGATTTGTGCGCGATTGGTTTTTAATTTGTAAAGTGGAGCCTAATTAGATCGCCGATCGCTTTGTATGAGTTTCACTTTTCATCGACCGAGCCTTGAGGCCGGCGTGGGCGTGTTTGCAACAGGTTTGAAGGTTCCACACTAAATCTTCAACTATTATATATATTTTTAGGTCACCTCTTGGTTGGGCAATGACGGCGCTGAAAACTTGCAAAAATTCGCACAGCTTCAGTTGGACAATGAGGCGCAGCTGAAGGCGCAGGAGCTGGAATTCGAGAAATACTATTTCATAGCCAGGGTGAGCTAAGGCCTTTAAATAATAGATGTAAAGTTAATTTAACCGACAAACCTTTATTATTTACAGAAACACTTGGCCAAGGGTCGCGACCTGCACTTGGCGGCGCAGAAGATAGCCGTACTGAGCGAGAGCGCACGCAACTTGAAGACGGCGCTGGATCAATTTGCGGAGAAGTTGGAGAAGACGCGGGAGCGCATCGAGGGCGGCGCACGGCTGCTGCACTTGCTGACGCAGCATCAGCGCGAAACGGCCGCGTTGGAGGAGCTGCAGCGCCTGGCCGCGGAGCTAGGCGCCACGGCGCTCATAGACAAACATTTGCCGGCCATGCACAGAGCCAGCTCCCAGCCGGGAGCGAGCAGCACGCCCGCTCAGGCTGCCACAAAGCGTGGCAGCTATCGCTGCAGCTCCGGTAATGGCAGCTCCTTTGAGGGTGCCACCGGCGGCAGCCACTGCAGCTGCTGGCGCGAGAGTCGCAATCTGGAGGACATGGACGAGCCGGAGGAGGAGCACGATCAGGAATGCGATGGCGATGCCGATGGCGATGGCGAGGAGCAGCAGTCCAAGATAGCCGATTCCGGCGTCGGCGTTTGCGACAACTGCGAACGCAATCCGAAGCTGGCGCGCATCTGCAGCTGCCAGAGCCTAAACGAGAAGAGGTAAGTGTTGGACGAAACCCAACTCAGATGCTGATGCTAATCCACTTCTTGCAGCCACGACGAACTGCTCGAGGACGAGTGCTTCGAGCGGCCCACAAAGCGCTACATGGACATGCACTCGCCCATGGAGGCGAATGCCCATCTACAGTGCCATGCCTCCAATCTGGAGCTGACCAAACTGGAGGAGCTCAGCTGTTTGGAACCAAAAATACAAAAGTAAGTGCGTCAAATTAGTTAGACCTCTGAGTGGAATCTGAACTAAACAGAAATTGAAATCCTATGAATTTTCTAACAGCTCACAGTTATTCCATAAGGAAAACCTTAGCCATGATCCTTGATCAGCCATTATCTATTTATTCCTTTGCGATGCTAACCATTAAAACTTTATGTTTTGCAATTTAGTTCAACCTGTTCCTAGCCCCCAACCCTATATAAAACAAAGAAGTTCAAATCTTAACCTAATTTCTAGATTTGCTTGCATTATTTCCAAAGCTGGTCAACACTAGAATAATCGACTTTATCCTTTGCAAAGATAATCATTCAAACTTAAAGTTTTGAGAGCAGGCTCACCCGGTTCCTAGCCTTCAACCATACGTTAAATTAAAAGGTTCATGGATTCATCTGATCCTTTCTGGATTCCTTGATTTGCTTGCATTACTCAATATTTTTAAGTAGCTAAGGTTTAGCGTGCTGATCCTATCTAATCTCAACTCTGAAATATAAGTTGTGAAAGATGACACGCGATGAAACTCTAGCGCAATATGGGGTAAGGCCCATAAGAAAAAGAGAGCATTTAAGCTGTATAAAGAGCTGTAAGGATCCTTTTCAAGCGAAAGGCACATAAACCTAGTCTACGGATTGAAAGACTTTACATACATATATTATTCCATTATTATTATTCAAATCATTAAATTAATCTTTCACTTTCGTTGACAGAACGCTTCTATTGATCATGCGGGAAATGATTGGTACCGAACGCGACTATGTGCGCTCCCTGTACTACGTAATCGAGAACTACATCGACGAGCTGCTGCGCGAGGATATTCCGCAGCCGTTGCGCGGCCAGCGGAACGTGATCTTTGGCAACATTGAGAAGATCTTTGAGTTCCACAATTCGCACTTTCTGGGCGAGCTGGAGCGCTACGAGCGCAATCCTCTAAAGGTGGGCGCCGCCTTCCTCGAAATGGAGTCCAAGTTCTATTTGTATGCGCTGTACAACAAGAACAAGCCCAAGAGCGACACGCTGCTGAGCGAGTATGGCAGCTCGTTCTTCAAGCCCAAGCAGCTCCAGCTGCAGGACAAGATGGACCTGGCCTCGTACCTGCTGAAGCCGGTGCAGCGCATGGGCAAATATGCTTTGCTCCTGCAGCAGCTGGTCAAGGCGGTGAAGAGCGTGGAGGGCGCTGCGCTGCAGGAGATCGCCGCCGATGTCGAGGAGTTGCAGCGCGCCGAGGAGATGGTCAAGTTTCAGCTGCGTCACGGCAACGATCTGTTGGCCATGGACTCGCTGCGTGACTGCGACGTAAATGTCAAGGAGCAGGGACGACTGCTGCGCCAGAACGAGTTCCTCGTCTGGCAGGGACGCGGCGGCAAAAAGACACTGCGCCAGGTGTTCCTCTTCGAGGAGCTGGTGCTGTTCAGCAAGGCGCGACGCTTTCCCGATCACAAGGTATGCATGCCAGCCTAGGCCAGACCAATCCCATCCCAACTAATTCCCGTTCCATTGCAGAATCTGGACATTTACATATACAAGAACAGCATCAAGACCTCGGACATTGGACTGACGGCGCACACGGGCGACTCGACGACCAAGTTTGAGATTTGGTTCAGAAAACGCAAGCCGGACGACACTTGGATGCTGCAGTGCATGTCGGAGGACATCAAGAATTCCTGGACCGAGGAGATATCCAAGCTGCTCTGGAAACAGGCGAAGCGAAATCGAGGTGAGTGAGATAGCTTAAGAGCGCAAGATAAACTCTCTAATTAACTATCAACTACTGCAGAAATTCGCCTGGCGGAGATGTCTTCGATGGGCATTGGCAGCAAGCCCTGCCTGGACATACGGCCCAGCAACAATCAGATCAGCGACCGCTCCATACCCCTAACCCAGCTAAACAAAAGTAAGTGCCTGGCCCAAAAACAGAAGCAGCTCTTATACACCTTTGTTTTTTCTTTATACAGCGCCCAAGCTGCGTCATGCGGAGCCGGGCAAGGGCAGCATGCGCCGACCCAATTCGCTCATCTCGGAGAGCTCGTTGTCCAGTGGCACCAGCACCACCAGCAGCTCCTCCATCAGCGGCGGTGGCGGCGGCTGCTCCTCGGGAATGCATGCGGCACACGAAACTGGACGCCACAGTCTCAATCTGAGCTTCAGCAAACTGTCGGGCAGCCACTTGGGCATCAGCAGTAGCAGCAGCGGCAACAACAACAATAACAACAATAATCCCACGGCCACCTTGGAGCTAATAAACGAAACGCAGGCGCTGAAGCTGAGCAACAGCAGCGAGCCGGACAATGCCAACGCAAGTTCCAGCCAACGATATGCCACGCCCACGCTCGTCAGCAGCGGATCGAGCAGAAGCAACAAGCGAAATCACAAACGCTCCACAACAATTGTCAGCCAGCTGTCCATGGGTATAGAGCTTGAATTGTGCTACTTCTTCTAGAGGCCAACAGTTGCTTTTAGTTTTGTATTAAATGTTTGTCTTCCCCGTGTATATAAAAAACACCCCACACCCTACCCCAGTATTATTTGACACTCTACTGTACATAAAACACCCCCCGCTCTGTCGCTCACCTCTAACCTCTAGTTGTATTTGCATGTTCTTTGTCTGTTTCCGGCTAGATATGAATGTTATTCGTGCATAATTTACACTCTACCCCTATATATATACTTATATGCATATCTAGAGAGCGGCATTCTGTCAGACATGTCCATCACGCCGGATCATCAGGAGCACGGCCACGCCCACGCCGCGGAGCAGTTGTCTGGCAGCCGGGGCAGTTGGTCCACATCCACATTCTGCACGGCCACAGCCACGGCCTCCACCTCGACGGTGATCCTGCGTCGCTACAAGTCGTACGCCCACGCTGCCGAGGCAGCAGCGCCGGAGAGCAACAAGTGAGATCGAAGTGGAAGTCGAAGTGTCGCAGTTTTCATCTCAGTTTTCGATGCCCGCATACTTAGTTACGAGAAAAATGAATACATAGCTTTAGCGAAAAACGGTTTCATCAGATTCAGATTTACATATAATACATATGCATACTTATTATTATTATTATTTTTTTGTTATTTATTATTTATTTTTGATTTTAGTTGCGTTAATATTTTGTCATCAATTTTCATCCTATTGTATTATTTGCCTTGGATGCATTTTCTTACATTTATCACATTCTCTGTTTTTAGAAAATTTTGAAATTATTGAATTCAATGTGTCAATGTCGAAATATATTTCATAGCTCTTAATCAACCTTAATCTACGCGTACAACCCACACACAAAACACACACACACAACACACAAATCGAGGGGCACACACAAAGTGCCAGCCGAAAATCAATCGAAATCGAAATTCATAACGTACAGTTAGTTAATATATGTAAATTAAGTGCCTATCTTTAGATTATCGTAAACAATATACATACATAATTGCATATCTTTACAAATATGAATAATGTATACAATTAAGCAAAGAATTGAATAAATGTTGCTTCGAAATATTTAGAATATCGAAACATATCAGCAGGGCGCCACATAAGCCAAGAATCTGCGTATGCTGCTTAACAGTTAAAATGTTACCTCTCCGAATTCAGTTTGTAATTCCCAACAGCTTATTCGCTGCCCTGCTGGTATAAATAGCTAGACGAATAGAAAGTTGTGTAATGTGAAGATAATTTTACAACCCGAACCATCGTGTGGGCCTTTGCCGTTTTTGGTAAAGGGACGTAATTCTGATTTATGCAACTTTTGTTTTTTTTGTATATACATATGTTTTATTTTATCAAAAATACAAAACTTTGTACTTATACTAGTTAACATAAAGCGCTTCTGTTAGCCGCCGTGCAGTGTGGATATGAAAAGCACGTTATCATTCTGTTGCAGCTCATAGTCTAGCTCGCCCTGTAATAATACAATAGCTTTAACTGACGTTTCTTTATAAGATAAGATTAGGTCATCTTACCAGCAGCTCCCAGTCCGTATCATTGATCAGCACCAGGATGCCGGGCCGTCTGTGAAACAGAAGTGCCAACAGCCATAACAAAAGGAACAATTGCTGCTGCCAAAGACTCACTTACACCGTGTTTCCCTGCATGAATAGCTCAGGACGTTCTGTTAAAATGTTGGCGTGCATCCACTTTAGCAAATTCGCTATGGTCCCTGCAATAAATTGTTATACGGCTGGCAGTAATTGATAGAAAGTACCGATGGATTCTCACATTTTTGGTCGCCGTCCAATGCAAGTTCCCGCCGTTTGATATTGCCAAAGAGCAGTTCGGCGCCAGCACTGAAAGAAGGCTTCTTTTAATAACGGTAAGCTTGAAGATTTGCACATATTACCTGAACTCCAGTATTATTTTTAAGTCCGGCATCTTTTGGCTATCTACAGTCAATTTATTATTGTTTTGGTTGTTTGACATTCACCATGAAAGACAGAAATTAACATTGCGTTAAGGGCTCAGTTTTGCGCAATGTTACTCATCCTGCGTTTACATAGCTGCTTTTGCGTTATTGAGCTCTTTTTGCGTTTCTGAAAAAATCATGAAAAAACTTTTGATTTTCGAACCGACCCCGATTTTGAGAAAAAACGTGATGTAACGCCTTGCTTTTTTGGTCGATTTGGGTCAAAATTTAGATTTTCATTTCTTGAACGCCAAAAAATGGTATATCTTTCCAAAATCGGACATTATTTGGCCGAGATATGCCAAAAAATCAACAAAAAAGGTTGACTTTACAAACGAATCAGTTTTTGATCTACAACTTTTGTCGAGCCATCGATTGTTAATAACCTTGAATGCCAATTGATAGTAGTGATCCGTACGAATTCAAAAAGGTATAACATTTCAAAATCAGACGATGTTTACCCGAGATATCCAAAAATAATTATCGAAAAAGTTTTGATTTTCGAACCGACCCCGATTTTGAGAAAAAACGTGATGTAACCCCTTGCTTTTTTGGTCGATTTGGGTCAAAATTTAGATTTTCATTTCTTGAACGCCAATCGATAGTTCTCATCCTTACGAGTTAAAAATGGTATATCTTTCCAAAATCGGACATTATTTGGCCGAGATATGCCAAAAAATCAACAAAAAAGGTTGACTTTACAAACGAATCGGTTTTTGATCTACAACTTTTGTCAAGCCATCGATTGTTAATAACCTTGAATGCCAATTGATAGTAGGGATCCGTACGAATTCAAAAAGGTATAACATTTCAAAATCAGACGATGTTTACCCGAGATATCCAAAAATAATTATCGAAAAAGTTTTGATTTTCGAACCGACCCCGATTTTGAGAAAAAACGTGATGTAACCCCTTGCTTTTTTGGTCGATTTGGGTCAAAATTTAGATTTTCATTTCTTGAACGCCAATCGATAGTTCTCATCCTTACGAGTTAAAAATGGTATATCTTTCCAAAATCGGACATTATTTGGCCGAGATATGCCAAAAAATCAACAAAAAAGGTTGACTTTACAAACGAATCGGTTTTTGATCTACAACTTTTGTCAAGCCATCGATTGTTAATAACCTTGAATGCCAATTGATAGTAGGGATCCGTACGAATTCAAAAAGGTATAACATTTCAAAATCAGACGATGTTTACCCGAGATATCCAAAAATAATTATCGAAAAAGTTTTGATTTTCGAACCGACCCCGATTTTGATAAAAAACGTGATGTAACCCCTTGCTTTTTTGGTCGATTTGGGTCAAAATTTAGATTTTCATTTCTTGAACGCCAATCGTTAGTTCTCATCCTTACGAGTCAAAAATGGTATATCTTTCCAAAAACGGACATTATTTGGCTGAGATATGCCAAAAAATCAACAAAAAAGGTTGACTTTACAAACGAATCGGTTTTTGATCTACAACTTTTGTCAAGCCATCGATTGTTAATAACCTTGAATGCCAATTGATAGTAGGGATCCGTACGAATTCAAAAAGGTATAACATTTCAAAATCAGACGATGTTTACCCGAGATATCCAAAAATAATTATCGAAAAAGTTTTGATTTTCGAACCGACCCCGATTTTGAGAAAAAACGTGATGTAACCCCTTGCTTTTTTGGTCGATTTGGGTCACAATTTAGATTTTCATTTCTTGAACGCCAATCGTTAGTTCTCATCCTTACGAGTTAAAAATGGTATATCTTTCCAAAATCGGACATTATTTGGCCGAGATATGCCAAAAAATCAACAAAAAAGGTTGACTTTACAAACGAATCGGTTTTTGATTTACAACTTTTGTCAAGCCATCGATTGTTAATAACCTTGAATGCCAATTGATAGTAGGGATCCGTACGAATTCAAAAAGGTATAACATTTCAAAATCAGACGATATTTACCCGAGATATCCAAAAAAAATTATCGAAAAAGTTTTGATTTTCGAACCGACCCCGATTTTGAGAAAAAACGTGATGTAACCCCTTGCTTTTTTGGTCGATTTGGGTCAAAATTATATTTTCATTTCTTGAACGCCAATCGATAGTTCTCATCCTTACGAGTTAAAAATGGTATATCTTTCCGAAATCGGACATTATTTGGCCGAGATATGCCAAAAAATCAACAAAAAAGGTTGACTTTACAAACGAATCGGTTTTTGATCTACAGCTTTTGTCGAGCCATCGATTGTTAATAACCTTGAATGCCAATTGATAGTAGGGATCCGTACGAATTCAAAAAGGTATAACATTTTAAAATCAGACGATATTTACCCGAGATATCCAAAAATAATTATCGAAAAAGTTTTGATTTTCGAACCGACCCCGATTATGCAAAAAAACCTGATGTAACCCCTTGCTTTTTTGGTCGATTTGGGTCAAAATTTAGATTTTCATTTCTTGAACGCCAATCGTTAGTTCTCATCCTTACGAGTCAAAAATGGTATATCTTTCCAAAAACGGACATTATTTGGCCGAGATATGCCAAAAAATCAACAAAAAAGGTTGACTTTACAAACGAATCGGTTTTTGATCTACAACTTTTGTCAAGCCATCGATTGTTAATAACCTTGAATGCCAATTGATAGTAGGGATCCGTACGAATTCAAAAAAGTATAACATTTCAAAATCAGACGATATTTACCCGAGATATCCAAAAAAAATTATCGAAAAAGTTTTGATTTTCGAACCGACCCCGATTTTGCGAAAAAACGTGATGTAACCCCTTGCTTTTTTGGTCGATTTGGGTCAAAATTTAGATTTTCATTTCTTGAACGCCAATCGTTAGTTCTCATCCTTACGAGTCAAAAATGGTATATCTTTCCAAAAACGGACATTATTTGGCTGAGATATGCCAAAAAATCAACAAAAAAGGTTGACTTTACAAACGAATCGGTTTTTGATCTACAACTTTTGTCAAGCCATCGATTGTTAATAACCTTGAATGCCAATTGATAGTAGGGATCCGTACGAATTCAAAAAGGTATAACATTTCAAAATCAGACGATGTTTACCCGAGATATCCAAAAATAATTATCGAAAAAGTTTTGATTTTCGAACCGACCCCGATTTTGAGAAAAAACGTGATGTAACCCCTTGCTTTTTTGGTCGATTTGGGTCAAAATTTAGATTTTCATTTCTTGAACGCCAATCGTTAGTTCTCATCCTTACGAGTTAAAAATGGTATATCTTTCCAAAATCGGACATTATTTGGCCGAGATATGCCAAAAAATCAACAAAAAAGGTTGACTTTACAAACGAATCGGTTTTTGATTTACAACTTTTGTCAAGCCATCGATTGTTAATAACCTTGAATGCCAATTGATAGTAGGGATCCGTACGAATTCAAAAAGGTATAACATTTCAAAATCAGACGATATTTACCCGAGATATCCAAAAAAAATTATCGAAAAAGTTTTGATTTTCGAACCGACCCCGATTTTGAGAAAAAACGTGATGTAACCCCTTGCTTTTTTGGTCGATTTGGGTCAAAATTATATTTTCATTTCTTGAACGCCAATCGATAGTTCTCATCCTTACGAGTTAAAAATGGTATATCTTTCCGAAATCGGACATTATTTGGCCGAGATATGCCAAAAAATCAACAAAAAAGGTTGACTTTACAAACGAATCGGTTTTTGATCTACAGCTTTTGTCGAGCCATCGATTGTTAATAACCTTGAATGCCAATTGATAGTAGGGATCCGTACGAATTCAAAAAGGTATAACATTTTAAAATCAGACGATATTTACCCGAGATATCCAAAAAAAATTATCGAAAAAGTTTTGATTTTCGAACCGACCCCGATTATGCAAAAAAACCTGATGTAACCCCTTGCTTTTTTGGTCGATTTGGGTCAAAATTTAGATTTTCATTTCTTGAACGCCAATCGTTAGTTCTCATCCTTACGAGTCAAAAATGGTATATCTTTCCAAAAACGGACATTATTTGGCCGAGATATGCCAAAAAATCAACAAAAAAGGTTGACTTTACAAACGAATCGGTTTTTGATCTACAACTTTTGTCAAGCCATCGATTGTTAATAACCTTGAATGCCAATTGATAGTAGGGATCCGTACGAATTCAAAAAAGTATAACATTTCAAAATCAGACGATATTTACCCGAGATATCCAAAAAAAATTATCGAAAAAGTTTTGATTTTCGAACCGACCCCGATTTTGCGAAAAAACGTGATGTAACCCCTTGCTTTTTTGGTCGATTTGGGTCAAAATTTAGATTTTCATTTCTTGAACGCCAATCGTTAGTTCTCATCCTTACGAGTCAAAAATGGTATATCTTTCCAAAAACGGACATTATTTGGCTGAGATATGCCAAAAAATCAACAAAAAAGGTTGACTTTACAAACGAATCGGTTTTTGATCTACAACTTTTGTCAAGCCATCGATTGTTAATAACCTTGAATGCCAATTGATAGTAGGGATCCGTACGAATTCAAAAAGGTATAACATTTCAAAATCAGACGATATTTACCCGAGATATCCAAAAAAAATTATCGAAAAAGTTTTGATTTTCGAACCGACCCCGATTTTGATAAAAAACGTGATGTAACCCCTTGCTTTTTTGGTCGATTTGGGTCAAAATTTAGATTTTCATTTCTTGAACGCCAATCGATAGTTCTCATCCTTACGAGTCAAAAATGGTATATCTTTCCAAAATCGGACATTATTTGGCCGAGATATGCCAAAAAATCAACAAAAAAGGTTGACTTTACAAACGAATCGGTTTTTGATCTACAACTTTTGTCGAGCCATCGATTGTTAATAACCTTGAATGCCAATTGATAGTAGGGATCCGTACGAATTCAAAAAGGTATAACATTTCAAAATCAGACGATATTTACCCGAGATATCCAAAAAAAATTATCGAAAAAGTTTTGATTTTCGAACCGACCCCGATTTTGAGAAAAAACGTGATGTAACCCCTTGCTTTTTTGGTCGATTTGGGTCAA